ATATCCCCAAATCCTCAAATGCTTCACTATAATAATTCAGGAGCAATTTTCTTAGGAGACAATATGTACAACCAGGAATGTTTAGCAAATATCCCTTCCCCTCATTGAACTGTGGATGCTGTTGTTGATTGGGAAATTGACCGAGGTAAAGGGTAAGAAAGGAGTGTGTGTGCAGTGCAGGTAAATGCTGGACCGCCAGCTAAAAAGTTGGCCATTTGGACCCACCCAGTGGCATCTCGGAGAGTGAAAAGAGGCCTGGCAAGCTGCATCTCAAACCCAATAGGGCAGTTCTTCTCTGTGCCCATGAGCAACAGGGCACAGGACAAGGACAAATCTATAAAGCTCCCCACTCCAAATTACTTGTCATCGCATCCACTGTCCCTGTGAGTTTCTAAGACGGTACAACTTTACAGGAGTTGAAAGCTGCAACTTCCTTCCATTTGGCAGGTGGTCGTTTAGAACTGCCAACCATTGAGTTAGCAGCCCAATGCATAATCTACTATGCTACCAGGTCTCCTCTGCTGTGGGTTCCATGTTAGGCTGCTACCTGCAAGGTTGCTAGTTCAAAACCACCAGCCGCTCCATGTGGGAAAGATGAAATTTTCTACTTCCATAAAGAGTTACAATGTTGAAAACACACAGGGGCAATTCTACCCTAGCTTGTAGTCAGAATCAACTTGATGGCAGTGAGTTCAATCTATAGAGCGGCTGACCCAAACATAGGGTTCATTAGGGATGTTGTTGTCATCTAGGGAAACTCAAGAATCTCAACAATACTAAGTCAGGAAAGGATGCTGAATGCACGGCCGCTTGCTTCTACCTGTATTACTTCTTTAAGGAATGGTGGTGAGATTAATCAGCAAACTCTATGGGTCCTAAGCAAGCCTGTCTTTAATTGATTAATTTATTGCAATAAACATGGAAGTCCTCCCGGGCAAGTTGTATGTGGCGTGCTTGATTTATTTACAGACAGAGTAAGAATGAATACCTCCATAAAGGGTTAAATAAAAGAAACCGGGAAAAGGGACCCATCTTATTATGTATGTATGCATTTCCAGAATTTCATACAGTACAAAAATGACTTGCCTTAGGGCTTGTTAAGGAAGTTCAGAATAGCCAGAAGGTCAGAATTTAAGGACCTTGCATTCTATACTCAGTCACTATCAGGTTCAAATCGCAGCTTGGAGCTCAGGGTCTCTAGTTGCTGAGGTGTAATAGGGAATAGTGGCTATAATTATGGCCCTGAGAAGTTTCCATCAAATCCTAATGCAGGTGGAGAATTTATGAGTTCTCTGAGCCTGGTTTATTCATCTATCTAAGTCTTAGTCTCAGGCAGTCCATACCGCAAACTCGCCGGGCTAGATGCGTGTTAGATGTCAGAAGTGCTCACATTTACAATCCCATTAAGGTCTATAAACTGTATAGTAAGTCACACCTTCAGCTAGGTCTGAGGCAGTAACCTGTAAGCAAGCAAATTAACATTTCTGCAGTCAACTATCTGAATAGTCAAAGTCAATGGGATGCATTATGACTATAAATAGCCTCAAGTCAGCTCAAGTTAGGGTTTTCTGCTACCTGAGCTTGTATCAAGCATACACAAAAAAATCTGTTGGATGCAAGGTTGATACAGACTGGGGGAACACCAGAGACTGTGACCCTTCTATACCCTAAAACCTGGAAATGAACCCACTTAGGGGGATCACCTGGAAGGCAAACAACAGACAGAGCTATAAAGTGAAAAACAACATGGGGGGGGGGGTGAAGGGGGGTGCAGAGTGTGAGGGGAATTACTCTTCAGAACAAGTAGCCACACAAAACCAAAAGGAAAGCATTTGTCGCAAAACATAACTCCGAGGGTAGGAAGGGGCAGGGAAGAAGGAAGAATGGGTCCCAGAAACCCAGAAGGAAATGAAAAGAGTGCTACACTATTGAGGGCCTTGTACCTGTCACAAAACTCCATGTATCTAACCTGCACGGTCCAAAGGCACTGTGCTTTGTAAACTTCATTCTAAGAAGAAACCTGTAGGAGAGTTTGATTCTCCACATTTCATGTATTAGTTCTTAACATTTCATGAAACTTTCATTATTGGTCCAAATGTGACTTCTTTCAGGGAAGAGAGCATGCTTTTGTTCATTGATTCCCCGCCTCCCCCCCCCCCCATTTGTCTAAACAAGTGTCCATTGCATGGGAAGGGCTCAATAAATATAAGTGGAGTCTATTTGTATGTTTCTTTCTGTGAATTATTCTATTAAAGACAGAGATGAGGTTTTCTATGGTGACTGGGTGTGACCAGCCGTATGGCACCAATCCCACCCCACTGCCTCATAGCATCGAGCACAGGTGTCCGTTCAGCCACCACTATGTAAGTCTTATTCGCATGACAATCTCTTGCTGCACCTGCACTCAGCATGGCTAGTGTTACTGCTGACATGTGTTCCTTGGCAGCTCTGTACATCTCAAGGCCACATCTAGGCACAAGTGGGCTTCCTGTGACACTTTCTCATCCGGCCTCTCTAGGTGGAGTGGAGCCTGTGGGCAATGAGGGGAAAATGCATGCTTCAAACACTCAATTACTTTCTCAAAGCAATGAGGGTAGAAGCAAGAATACAATCAGGAATTCCTAGCGAACCACAAAGAGTTAACCACAAAAAGTCAATATTTAATTATATATATATGTATATATGTATATTTAAATTGCTACACTTGGAAATAAATAACATAAGCTTGATTCACTTCTGAATATCAATTACCAAAAAAAGATCAGCCACTGGCAGGTTTGCCCTCAGAATTCCAGCCAGGATTCCACTGAGTGTCAACATTAACAGAAGTTTGAGAATTAAACATGCATGTGGTTGTTGTTGCTGTTGTTGTTCTTAGGTGTCGTGGAGTTGGTTCTGATTCATAACCATCCTATGTATGACCTAACGAAAGGCCGCCCCGTCTGAAGCCATTCTCACGAAGTGTTCGTATAGTTGAGCCCATTGGGGCAGCCACTGTGTCGATCCATCTCATTAAGGGCCTTCTTCTTCGCTGCCCCTTTAATTAACCAAGCTTCATAGCCTTCTCTAGGGACTGATCCCTCCTGACCACATGGCCAAAGGATGGCAGACTAAGTCTCACCACCCTGGCCTGGAAATAGGCTTAAAGGTGCGTGGCCCTTCACGAACTCAGAGTGCTGCACAAAAGGAGGTGGCTCATGGAGACGTAAGGGTTATTTCCCTACCTGCTACCAACGACCAAACCAAGGCAGTCCAGGCTCACTCACCACAGACCCTTCCAACCAAAGATGTTGATTCCAGTCTTCTGATGGTACCTGATGATGAATGAATTCATTTCTCTTACCCTTGTGGCAGAGTTTGGCTCACTCTACAGTAGAACCCGGTATTCGACCACATCAGGACTCGACACAATCGGATTTTGACTCAAAATGTTGACAAAATTTTGCATTGGAGCTCGAAAAAAACATCAGAATTCAACCCGAAGCATGCATGCGGTGTTTGTAAACAAAAGCAGTTCATGTTTCGGTCACTTGGTGTTAGTTAGTAAGCTTTGTTTAAACCTTTTGCGGCTGTGTTCCATGCGTTTTGCTATATTTTTCTTAGTTTTTGTCATTTTTTTTTTTACTGGTTTTAGATTTAAAAAAACTCATGACTCCTAAGAAAGCGTTTTTTGAAAAGAATCACGATAAGAGAGCTTTTTGAAAAGAATCATCATGATAAGGAACTTGTTAACCGTGTTATCAATACGGCTGATGATAATATAGTAAACCCTTTTAGAAAACAGTTAAGGGAACGCCAACAGCAGACCACATTAGACAGATTTTTTTTTAAGAGAAAGACAGCCAAATCCTAGTGGGAAAACAAACAAACAAACAAACAAACAAAAAAACAAGCAAATAAGAGGGCAGGGGGGTGGGGGAGCTCCTGAAAAGCAGCTAGCAGTTGATTTTTTGAAAGGGGATTCCCCTTCCAAACACTGACTCTCCATCCCTCCTCTGCACATCCGAGTCCACAGACCCAGATCCTCAGTCTCTAGGTATGGGTCACACTGCAGTTGTGAAGAACTTTTAAAATGTTGCGTTTCTTATTTAAATTATATCATTTAACTCTGAACTTATTTGCTTTGAAATTTCTGTGCAATGTTTTGTATAGAAAGGCAATGTTAGGGTAAAAACTTGGTGGTTGAGAATGGATGAATTCATTTTCAGTTATTTCTTACAGGAAACATTGATTTCGGAAACTCGGCTGCATCTCGACAGCTCCTTCTAGAGTGCTAGCATTGCGGTCCGGGTCCTACTAGAGAACAAAGCACTCTTTCCAACTCTAGTTCACTCTCCTCTGCCTTATTCCTCCCTAAAACCCAGACACACTACCGTCAGGTAGATCCTAACTCACAGTGATCCTCTAGGACAGGGCAGAACTGCCTCTGTGGATTTCTGAAATTGTAATTATTTTCTTTCTAGGAGTAGAAAGCTTCCTTTTTCTCCCTTGGGGCCACAGGTAGTTTCGAACAGCTAACCTTGCAATTAGCAGCCCAACGGGGTCACCACGACATCACCAGGGGCTTCACTCCACTCTAAGTGAATGATTCAAACAAACAAACAGACCTGTGATTAGAAATTCCTGGTATCAAAGGAAAACAGCAGAATGCTCCCTCCACCCCACCCCACCCAAGAACTGTGATGGTGGGAATTCAAACTGAGCAAAAAGATATACTTCTTCAAACACTCAATGCTATAGACAAGATTTGGCATTCAGATTTCTTGTGTGAGGTGGACAAAGCAGGGCGATTAGCTTTGGCTGGACATCCGATGTGTCCACATTCAAGACTACACTTCGACGATTATTCAAACTCCTCTGGAAAGGGACTGGTTATCTACCCAACCCTGTGGCTTCGAAGACTTACAGCCCAACCTGCCAACAGCTGTGAAGAGTCTAGGGTACGGGCTCTGAAGGCTACAAGCAGACGCTGAAATGGGGTTCTTAAAATCAGTACTTACCCGGCCAACAAGAATCGGTTCCGGTCCAGAGAACTCTTCCAGGACAAACATTTGATTCCAAACCCAGCCTCTTTTGGAGCGGTTCAAAACCCTCTGTTCTTCACTCAGCTGGTTTCGTCCCAAAGAGGAGCCACTCATTAACACTTGAGACTGATTCACTGGAGCCATGTAAATGCAAGGGGGAAGCGTGATCCATAATATTATTAATGGCGTCCAGAGATCCAAGAGCATGTCCGCTAGCCGTTCTGGCATGGTCCCACCAGTTAAGCAAATCACCACGAAAATGAGACAATTATTTCTTTTGCCTCCGGTCTGCAGCCATCCAATTCATCATGCAGCGCTGAGCACACTTGCAGCTCGGCCACGTGTTTACAGCTCAGGGAACACACATCGTCTAAGCAGTTCTTCTAAGACCACGAGCCATTGGCTGTCCTTGTCATTGAAATTTCCTGCATAAAGAAAAAAGGAAACAAGGAGAGAGAAAGCTACAGGTTCACTCAAGCAGGTGTGAAGCAAAACCACAGCTTGTCCAAAGCACCCACGTCATCAGTCCTAGGCGTGTCCCAAACTCTCAGGAGACAAAAAGCAGGTCTGAGAAACAAGAACGCGGAGCCTGTTTCTTTCAGCTTTATGTAGATCACAGTACAGTTAGGCCCCGGGAGTCACAAGGATCTGACTTTCAGACAACTTGTAAGGGCTCTGCCATGGGGCGTTCTACTCCCCTAAAGAGTTACAGTCTTGGAAACGTACAGGGGCAGTTCTATCCTGTCCTGCCGGGTTGCTATGATTCGGCATCTACTCGATGCCAATGAACTTGAGTTTTTGAAAAATATGGACCCACACCACTCTCAACAAATTCTTCCTCACATTCACCCTTACTCATCGCAAGTGACGGTGTTACGCCTTTACGGTGCTTATCAGTAAGGCTAAGGAGAGACCCAATGAACCTGTTCGGACTTATTTACTTACAAATTCCACTTAGCAACTCATCTGGTTCATAAGCCGGGGACAGACAGCCTGTGCCTATTGTGTATACACAAGTATGTTACTTATGAACGACCACTTCAAGTAATAGCAATTCTCCCTTCTCCCCTTACCTCTCTCCCTCTTTCTTGCACTCTGTTTCTATTCTTGGCACAGTTGCTTTTAAAAATACAATCCTGTGTACCATGAAAGTGTGGAGGTGTAGATGACTAAAGCCCCACTCGCAGCACAACTTTTGTTGTTGTTAAGTCGTTTAAAGAAAGTTCTCTTCCGTTTATGTGGAACTGCATGACAGGAGAGGGAGCTAGTCTTTAAAGGGGAGTAAGAAAACTGCATAGGGGAAATTCCCTAACTTCTACCGTCTCGGCTGCCACAGTCATTGCAAAGAAGCGTCCGGTCCGAGCTGCTGAATGCAATTCTCAGGCTGGATGCTAATAGCTAGTAAATACAGTTAGCATGCTCCCAGAGAGAAATGCTGTCATGTCTGGCATGTGGCTATAATCATCCGAAATGTCCAGTTGAACAGGAGATTGAAATTATGAAAAGCTGCTTTGGGAATGAAATATGGTAAAAAATGCAATTTTCAATCGAGGTGAGTCAGAACAGGATGACCAAAAAGAAAGAAAGAAAAGAAAAATCCCCATTACCTGAGGTGTCAAATACATTTTTTTGCTTACCTTCAGCGTAGCGAAACGTGTTTCTTCCCTCTCCAAAAAATTATTTTTAAAGAAATAATGCTCACTGCAGCTCCCAGAGAGAAGCCACGCGGAATTAAATGGTAAAGTAATTGCTCAGGACACCATTGGGAACAGTTTGGCTGAGGGAATTCGTAATGGGTTAGGGAAACCTTTCACCCGTATGTCCTCGGTTCCATTCTGGCTCAGAATGGGAAAGGCAGAAAGTCATTAACGTGGGCTGAGCTGTGGAGTGGCCTCCATGAAGTCAGCTGAAAGAGCCAGACCTCCGATGCAGGCAGTGTCTGATCTAAGGAGATGGCCGGTGGCCTTGGCCAGCTGTCACTCTTTGTCTGAGCTCAGAGCTCAGTGATTAGAACTTTGCACCTGAAAGCGAAGCTTCACTCAAAAGAATACTGCCTATAAGGGAGACTCAGCAAGTTTGGAGAACAAAAAAGAAAAATAGCTTTCAAGAGGGAGCCAAGTCCAATAAGACAGCCAAGAAAAGGTCCCCTCCCCTTTTGTTTTTTTGACAATTACCACACAGGCAGGAAACCAAGTCTTCCTTAAAAACAGACACCCACTAAGATAAGACCTCTCTCATGTCCAGTGTGAGGTCTAACCATGGTGCTTCCCAAATGAAATTCAAAAAGCCATCAAATAAAACCTGAGAACAGTTGGGTCTTTCTGATTTGCCAATCCACTTAGTTAAGCACTACTGAGAGTTCAGTGACAACACATTGTGTCATACTGCCTCCCAGATAGGGGAGTGATGGACTAAAACCGAGCTAAGCATCACTCAAGGTCGGTGGTTCAAACCTACTGGCTACTCCGCAGGAGAAAACTGAAGTTATCTGCTTCCGTAAAAACGTACAGCCTCAGCACCGCTATACACGATCTATATATAGGATCTATAGAGGATCAATGTGCATCCTAATCGACTTGATGACAACGGGTGAGCATGTCTACTTTGGAACGCCAGCATACCC